GCCTCTGGAGGCCCAGCTGCGACGACAACGGCTCCAGCTCGACACGTCCTTACAATTTACCCCGACACGCCCTGGCCAGAGAGTCCCTCGAACTCAGGGGACTTGCTCGCAATTCAATCAAGTTGGCGGAGGCCCAGCCACGACGACAAGGGCTCGTGTTCGATGCTTCCTCACGATTTACTCCGGGAGTCCCTGGCCAAGAAGGTCCCCGAACTCAGGAACGGCGCTCTCGCTCGAAACCTTCTCGTCATTTAGGCAAGTTGGTGATGGCCCGGACACGGCGACAAGGGCTCCCGTTCTATATTTCTCCATCGGTATTCCGAGAGCCCCTGGCCAGAGAGGCCCTCGAACTCAGGAACGGCGCTCTCGCTCGAGACTTCCTCGCACTTCAGCTAGTGGCCGGCAAGGAAGAGATTCCCCCCGAATGGGGGCGCAATCGAAGACGAAGTGGGTGGGCATCGAGGGTTGGGGTATACGGAATGCAAAACACGCGTGCCAGTAAGAACGAATAGTCTTATAATGATTGTTGTTCGTGGTGCTGTTGTGATAAGTGTTGTAAGCCGGCGGCCAGGGGCCCAATTTGGTGACACCCACTCCTGTATAAATTAGCCTGGCGAAAGACCTAACCATATGCTGTTGTGAATACCGGAATTATGAATACCATCTTCGCCCGAACTCCCTATGTGGCCACGGCTTCCCGCCGGAGCCCAACATGCTCAGGAACACGTTCGTGGCCATCTTCGCGGGCGTCGACGACGACAAGGACGGCGTCCCTCTGACCGAAGAGCAGAAGCAGGAGAGGGCTTTGAGAGCCATGAGGGAGGAGGTGGCGTTGCACGTCGACAAGGCGGAGTATGACGACCAGGCGCGGCTGTTGAAGCAGCGCGACGATCCTCGTGAGGGGTGTGCCGCAATGGCCCGGGGCCGCCATGCGAACCTTGCCACTGGCGCCTTCGGTGGAGCTCCTGTGGGGCCACGATCCTCGTGAGGGGTGTGCCGAAATGGCCCGAGGCCGCCATGCGAACCCTGCCACTGGCGCCTTCGGTGGAGCTCCCTAAGGGGCCACGATCCTCGTGAGGGGTGTGCCGAAATGGCCCGAGGCCGCCATGCGAACCCTGCCACTGGGGCCTTCGCTGGAGCTCCCTACGGGGCGTGTGCCGCCACGAATCCTGCCGCTGGCACCTTCGGTAGAGCTCCCTATGGGGCCACGATCCTCCTCAGGCGTGTGCCGAAATGGCCCGAGGCCGCCATGCGAACCCTGCCACTGGCTCCTTCGGTAGAGCTCCCTATGGGGCCACGATCCTCGTGAGGGGTGTGCCGAAATGGCCCGAGGCGCCATGCGAACTCTGCCACTGGGGGCCTTCAGTGGAGCTCCCTATGGGACCACGATCCTTGTGAGGGGTGTGCCCAAGTGGCCCGAGACCGCCATGCGAACCCTGCCACTGGGGGCCTTCGGTGAAGCTCCCTATGTGGCCACGATCCTCGTGAGGGGTGTGCCGAAATGGCCCGAGGCCGCCATGCGAACCCTGCCACTGGGGCCTTCGGTGGAGCTCCCTATGGGGCCACGATCCTCGTGAGGGGTGTGCCGAAATGGCCCGAGGCCGCCATGCGAACCCTGCCACTGGCGCCTTCGGTGGAGCTCCCTATGGGGCCACGATCCTCGTGAGGGGTGTGCCGAAATGGCCCGAGGCCGCCATGCGAACCCTGCCACTGGGCCTTCGGTGGAGCTCCCTATGGGGCCACGATCCTCGTGAGGGGTGTGCCGAAATGGCCCGAGGCCGCCATGCGAACCCTGCCAATGGAGCCTTCGGTGGAGCTCCCTATGGGGCCACGATCCTCGTGAGGGGTGTGCCGAAATGGCCCGAGGCCGCCATGCGAACCCTGCCACTGGGGCCTTCAGTGGAGCGCCCTTTGGGGCCACGAAACAATGTACTGGGTGGGTGAAACGCAGGGAGGAGGGAGGAGGAGAGGAGGAGGAGGAGGAAGAGGAGGAGAAGGAGGAGGAGGAGGAGAAGAGGAACGCGGGGCCCCGTCTCTTCAAAACGAGGACTCAACACCACAAGATGGTTGGGAAACAACGGAATGCGAACCCCGGGGGGAGCACTTAAACTAAAAACTGGACTGGTTACTGGGCACGAGAGAATCAATGATGCAAATAAATAAATAATTTAGCACTGAAAACTCAAGAAAACAGCAACAACAAACAACACACAACAAACAACAACACAACCACCAACAACAACAACACCAACAACAACGCAAACACCAACACCAACAAAAACAGCAGCAGCAACAACAATAACCACAACACACTCAACAACAACACACTCAACAACACCACCAACAGCAACCGCAACGGCACCAGCAACAGCAACAACAACATCATCAACAACATCAACACTCATGTTCAGACTGTTCGCTCTTACCTGCTCGCGTGCCCTTCAACACGTAGATCCCGACACCCTCGGTACACGCCCTCTTCGTTTTCGATCGTACCCCCTCGGGGGTATATATTTCTTACCCGTTTGGCGCAGCCCCTGAAACAGGGGAAGAGAGGACGGATGGAAAGAGGAGGGAGAAGGATGGAGCACGGAATTAGCAGGATGGGGGCTAGGAGCGGAAAACACATGGCAGAACCAGACGGGCCTATCGGGCGGGTAGACCCTAACGGGCGGGTCGGGAAGGCGAGCCCAAGCGGCCACGTCGAATAGGCGTATTGCTGAAGCGTGAGTTCTGCGTGAATCGTGGATCATGAATCTCTTCCTCCTCCTCCTCCTCCTCCTCCTCCTCTTCCTCCTCCTCGTCCTCCTCCCATTCCTCCTCCTCCTCCTCCTCCTCGTCCTCCTCCTCCTCCTCCTCCTTCTCCTCCTCCTCCTCCCTTCTGCTGCTCGCGCCGTCGCATTCGGCCTGGCACCGAGGGCAGCCTGCGCAAGCCCCCGCGCACTGCCCACGGAGGCTCCCTCGAACCTGCGCGCTATATCCTCGCTCCGCCCCAAGAAATTATGGATTGGACCCAGGAGCCCTGGGGGGGGGGGGGCGAAGGTCCCGGTCGTGGGATTCGGTGTGCAAAATTCCGACCCTGATCGTAAGATCTGTATATGCCAAATGTGCCCCCTGGCGGTGACTGGGGCGGGGAAAGTGTGGCACTGCGGGGCTGCTGAAACAAGAAACGCTCAATGAGGAACGAAGCCCCTCGTTTGTTTATCTATAAGTATATATACACGTATATATTGAACTTTTTATTTTAAACATTTTTTATCAAGAATGAAGCCCCTCGTTGGCCCTAAACGCGCCTGCGTGGACGAGGAGCGCCGGCGGAAGAACCACGGCATGGGCCAAGGAAGAGCGAGCACCTTCCGAACCCACAGAGGCCCTTCCTTCAGCGTCTTGGCTGCAAACACAAAAAACCTAGATTGTTTTGTTTCTCTCCCTCTCTCTCTATCTCTCTCTCTCTCTCTCTCTTCAGCGGCGAGCCTGGGTGGAAGTGAGAAGGAAAAGGTTCTCTCAGAAAGCTCGGAAGTCCCCCAGCCTTCTGAGAAGTTCTCTAAGCCTTCCACGAAGACGCAAGAAACTTCTCAGAAGGCGCGAGGGCTTCTGAGGAGTCCCGCCGTCATCTGAGAAGGCCTTCTCCTTCTCAGTACCCCCCTCGCTCGCCGCCGAATCTGCTTTTTTGGTCTGCGGCGGGCGTTCGGGACGCTCCCGGCACCCCCGGAACGCCCGTGGCGAGGCGCAGCTGCTGGCAGGCATCCCGAGGCTGGAACACTGCCGAGAACCGACGACAACGCTTGAAAGCCTCGGAACTCGAGCCCCGAACTCTCCCCGTCGCTCGCCGCCGATCTCTCTTTCTCTCTCTCTCTCTCTCTTCTCTTTCTCTCTCTTTCGGGCCGGGCGAAAGGGGGGGATATCGTGGGGGGGGGGTGAGACTCAGCTCGCGCAGCTACTTTTCCCGGCGCCTCCCGGCGCTTCGGAGGCGGCCATGCATCGAGGAATGGGCTCCTCGGTGGGGCCGAACACAGCTGCATGCAGCAGATTTCGTGCCCCCCTTCTCGGCGGTGGACAAACCTCCCTTTGGTAAACCTCCCTCAAGTGAAAACGGCTTGGGACCGAAACCGACGGACCTGGACAGAAATGACGGCCGCGACGCCCTCTCGCGAGCCGAAAACGGCCGATTCCTCAATCGACATGTCAGGGTAGGATTATGTCGGGCGTGTCCCCCTACAGGGGGATTTTCGACGAAAAATAAAAGATACACCAAAAAATGCACCTAAAAATAAAAATACTCAAAAATAATTCCCATACTATGTTTGGACTATTGTTTGATTATTTCTGGGGTATTTTTGATTTCTCGTCGGAAATCCCCCTGTAGGGGGACAGGCCCGACTCAAGGGTAGGAGGCCTGTCCACCCCCGACCAAGGTCACCCCAGCGAAAGGCCACTCTTGTCCTGCGAGCCAACGTCGTGAGCCTCTCGCCACGCCGGCCCCCGGAGCTCCGGAAATCCTCCCCGGGACCGGCCCGGCATCCCGCACCGCCTCCTGACGCTCCCGGGGCCAAGCGCAGGCCTCTCCAGAGGCCGAAAGATGCCAAAAACACGCACTCGTCATGAGCTTGCTCGCGCCGTCCGAGGTGCGGGTACCCCCGACCTGTCCCAGTCCCCCCCCCCCCGGCCCGACTCTCGGGCGCGGCCCGCCGCTCTCCGCGCCCGAGCCTCCCCCTCGTCCTCCTCCCCCTCCTCCCCCTCGTCCTCCTCCCCCTCCTCCTCCTCCTCCTCTTCCTCCTCCTCCTCCTCCTCCTCCTCCTCCTCCTCCTCCTCCTCCTCCTCCTCCTCCTCCTCCCCCCTTTCGTCCGGCCCGACTCTCGGGCGCGGCCCGCCGCTCTCCACACCGAGCCTCCCCCTCCTCCTCCTCCTCCTCCTCCTCCTCCTCCTCCCCTCCTCCTCCTCCTCCTCCTCCTCCTCCTCCTCCTCCTCCTCCTCCTCCTCTCTTCATGCCCCCCCTTTCGTCCGGCCCGACTCTCGGGCGCGGCCCGCCGCTCTCCGCACCCGAGCCGCTCGCCGCGGGGCTGGGCAGGGCGGGCCCCTCGGCCGGCGCGCCCGGGGCACGGGCCGCGCCCTCGGCCTCGGGGGGCGGGCTCCAGCACGGCAGCGGCCACAGCAGCAAGCTGGCGCTGGGCCAATGTTCCACCCCCGCGGCCACAGGTAGGAGGAGGAGGAGGAGGAGGAGGAGGAGGAGGAGGAGGAGGAGGAGGAGGAGGAGGAGGAGGAGGAGGAGGAGGAGGAGGAGGAGGAGGAGGAGGACCTCCCTCTCCTCTCCTCCCCCGTCCTACCTATGGCAGTGGTGGTGGAAAAGGCGCCCATCAGCTGGGGCCGAAGACGGAGCGGAAGTTGGCGGCGGGCCCCAGGTCGTGCGGGCTGCGCCAAGACCTCCACTCCACCCACGCCCTCCAGCGGTCGTCGCCGTTCGCGTAGAACTCGATCGTGGTCTGGTTGGTCAGCACGAGGAAGGCGTGGCAACCCCCCATGCCACACATCGAGAGGAGCCCGATGGCGGCGGCCACCCAGCCCGCCGGCACCATCAGCGCCAGTGGGCTGAACGCCTCGAGCCACCGCCACCCCGGCAACCGTGCGGCCACGGCGGCGGGGACCATGGCCTGATCCGCCACCGTGCCTTGAGCTCACAGTGGTGGGCCATGAAGGCCAAACAGTGGTGAATGGGAAAAAGGTTGGTGGAAGTCTGAAGGGGCCAGGCCCCGGGACACATCAAGAGGCAAGGCGGAAACAGCGGTGCAACAGTGCTGTAAGCAACGGATACAAGAAGTGGGAATCAACAAGGTATGCCGACTGCGCGGGCTCCCCAGGCCTCAAACCTCAAACGTTGAAGCAACTGCAAAATACACACATTTTGGGGCGCCGAATGGTTTGCGGAAGGCCTGCTAGTTACATGTCCTGTGAAAACCTGACCCTCGCTCATTTAAACGACTGCTGCGAAAATCCATGTTTCTGGTCGAAATGCGAGATGGTGTAGTGAACCCCTCACGCGGTCCGTGCTTTGTACCAGGGAACGGAAAAAAGACCTTACTAATTAAGGATTCGACTGGACCGGACTGTCTCGTATACGCTCAGGAACCCTGGTGCCACGCCCCTTGTGGAGGCATGGATGGTTTCCCAGCCGTTGATGCTTGAACCTTCACTCATGGCCTCGGTAGTGGTGCTCGCATGCGGGAAAGAGCCCATGTCGGCACACATCACACTGATGGTGGCCTCAATGCGTCGCTCGTCTCCGTCATCGTCGTCGTCTTCAGTCGGCATCGTCGTCGTCACGCCCCAGCGTGCGTCACTCGCCATTGTCAACGTCAACGTCGTTGTCGCCGTCGTCAGTCGTCAGTCTTCGTCGTTCAACGTCATCACTCGTCGTCCTCGTCCTCATCAATTGTCGTGATCGTCGCCCGTCGTCGCTCGTCCCTTGTAATGCTGCTGCGTCGTCGACGCCGTGACACCTGTGACCGTCGTGGTTATCACCTCAGAAACTCATTGTAGTCGTCGTCGGCAATTTTCGTCGATCGCCAATCCCCATCGTCACTCGTCATCGTGGTCGTCTTCGTCGTTGACTTTCGGCACGCTCAGCACGTAAGTCGTGCCCCACAACGAGTTTCGTACGCTTTTGCGCGCCTGCTTTACCCGCTTGCTGCGTGCTCCATCCACCCCGCGGCGCGCAGCATATGAAAAGCTGGCGAAGCCCTGCGCTCCATGCAGATGCATGGGATAGTTTTTGGTGGCCGGCACAAATCAGTTGGCCAGTCCGTTTCGTCTTCACGGTCATCGTAATTGCCTAGATCGTCGTACTGTTCGCCGTCGTCGTCGTCGTCGTCGTCGTCACTCGTTCTCGCTCGTCGCCCGTCTTCGTCAACCGTCGTCACCATCAACCGTCGATAACGTCACCTAGACTTAGCTGGAAAGTCTGTGGGGCCATGATGATCAGAGCTCGCGAATGCGCTCGGGGACAAAAATCGTCCGCCGCCTTCGTGGTCGGCTCTGAGAAGGGCTTGCACAAAACAACGCTGGACAGCCAGAGGGGTGCGGGGCGGGGACAAGAATGAATAACGAAATCCCAATTTGAAAAAATAGCGCATTGAAACCAGAACGCCTAAAACAAAAATAATGCCGTTCGTGTCATTCAACCTTACAATATGACCCCAGGCCCTGCAATAATGTAACACTACGAAGCGACATTTACCAAATCAGGGTTCACAATTCACACCTGCTGCTCCTGTCGCAGACCACGAAACAACACCCACAGAGGGGAAGCCCCCAACCCCCCCGAAAGAAAACGGATTGCGACCATCACGGCGCGCCACGCAAGGGATGGGCGGCAGGAGCTGCGAGACGCGCGGCAAACCCCCTCCCGGCCTGCGCGCGTAAGGGGAGAGAGAGGGACGGAAAAAGGACAGGGTGTCCGCAAAAACCTCGCTTCCCGAATGCACAGCTTCGCACCTCATCGAGAGTCGGAAGTCCCCGGGGGACCACCAAGGTTCACTACAGGCCGGCCAAGCGACGCAAAGCGCGCATGATGTGCCAAAAGCCACTTGCCACAGGCCGTAGCACTAGTGGGACTACAGCATCTGTCCCAGGCCACGGCAACGCACCCGCAAGTGGGACGCCCCCAACCCCGCAGAGGCGATCTGGAAGGCAAACGCGCAACGGGGATCCGTAAGACCGCAACATGGCAAGCGGGACGAATGCCACTTTGCGTGCCCAGCGAAACGCTGGAAGATACAAGGTCACCAAGGCATCTGCGCCCTGATTAGGCGGCCAACTGACGAGCAAAGGCGCAATCGAGCACGCTGTCTGGCCGGCTTCGAGGAAACGCCGCTGTCGGGCAACCACGGACAACTTCATGTAAACATCCCTCATCGCATCTGCGCTCGTCCAGCCGCCTTGGGCTTGAACGCACTCCTCTGGAAAGAAGGCGGACGTTTTCCAACATTGCGCCCCTCACTTCCGCAAGGACTGGCCGCCGATCTGAGCGTCGGCGAAGTGGCGGGACAACGCGCGTCTGAACGTGTCGCCGAAGACAGGTTTCAGCGCGGCGATCCCTGCGACAGCCCAGAGCAGAGGATGGCGGCTAGTATCTGAAATCTGCCACCCAGCACAGAAGGTCGACAGTCCAGTTCGCGCCCGTGCAAATGGCGCAATGGCGCACGGCAGCGGGCAAACGTTCTTCTGCTTCCAAATTTTTTCACGGAGAATTTGACGATGCCCGTGCCCGCCATCTCACAATTCCTCGAGGCGTGGTCACGGAACACCGTGGTCATGGCGACGCCGCGGTCGCTATCCTTATAAATACTGGCTGTCGACCCACGCCTGGCGCTTCCCTACAGGGGTGTTCTTCTGAACGTGCGAGACCATGTCCTGAATCATGCTTTCCACATGGTGCTTCCTGTGGAACGGGATTGCGTCGATGCTGGCGCCCGAAAAAACTGGCCCGGCAGGTGAAGCTGCCGCTGGCGCCGACAGCCGAGCAACCTTTGCCGGATGTGGCACGCGACTTCACGAGACCATGGGCGCGCCGTCCGGGCGTTGGACGGACCGCCGATGCAGCCTCAACCAGGCGGACGTTCTGGACGACGTCGCGGAGAAGCACCTCGCGCGCAAGTGTAGAATATGCACTGGTGTTCTTTAGTCCTCTTGTAAAACATGCTTGCGTCTGCTGAAGCACTGTTGTTCTTTAGTCGAAGCACTGTTGCCTTCATGATGCGCCGCCTGTGTTCGTTGGTCCTCTTGTGAGCCATGCTCGTGAGAACTGCCCTCTGCGCTACCTGCTTTCTGTGGCGGGCCTTTTTTTTGTTTACGGACTGCACGGCCGCGCAGCGGAGCTCAAGGATGCTGAGGCGGACGAGGAAGGGAACGTGCCTGTCCCCCTACAGTGGGATTTTCGACGAAAAATAAAACATACCCCAACAGTAGTCCAACATGGTCAAACAATAATCAAAAAATAGTCCACAGACAACTTTTGGACTATTGTTGGACTATTTTTGGGGTATGTTTTACTTTTCGTCGAAAATCCCCCTGTAGGGGGACAGTCCCGACTCAAGTTTTGATGTTGTCTGTTAGAGAAACTTCCTTACAAAAGGTTCATTTCTTTCTTCTTTTGGAAGGAAAGCCGACGTGGCACGCTTCAACTCCTGGGGCTCGACGCTCGCGGGATTCCTCGCGGACGATACCATGCTGCTGGCGAGGACGGCGTGTGCTCAACAGCCCACCATCGTCCAGGAGATCTCATCCGAGTCCACCACAAGGTCCCGCCACGCGGCCCCGCACTCCGCCACGGAGACGTGCCGCAGCTGGGCCCTGCAGGGGAAGGACTCGTCAAGGCGGCGGTCGTACTCCGACTGGGCCAGCTTGCTGAGCTCGAGGCCTTTCATCCTGCGAGGCGGAGGTCCGACGACGAACAGGCAGCATTAACCAGGTCGCCCAGATGTACTTGCTCAGAACGGTGCTGTATCTCCACAAGGATCGCTGCGTGGATGGCGCCGCCGGGCTTCACGGCAGCTGCGATTGCAGCCTGCGCAACTTCTGTCATGGCAAGAGGCACAGAAGACAAATGAAACAGAAACTAAAACGAACATGCCACTGAGAAAATTGGATGTGATACAAACCGCTAAGACGGAAGTACGGCTAAAACAGAACCGCCGTTGTTGCTGCGAGACACGCTGCAACGCCCCCCAAACCTGCGCGCGTAGAGGAAGAGGGAAGACTGGAGAAAGATAGGGTGTCCGCGAAAACCTCGCTTCCCGGATGCTGAACGTTTTCAGAAACTGCGTTTCGAGGGTGTCGGCGATGCGTTGAGACGTGCGAGACAGGAATATACATAAACCTGCAATTCTCAATCCACGAAATATAATGTCAGATTGTATTATGTGTGTGTGTTTGTTTTGGTAAAATAAGGTTCTCCACGCAACCCCGCCTGGGCCCCTTGCTCACACACTTCTGGGGGTCCCTCGAGGCAATCCCGGGACGTGCAGCGTGAACCTCCTAGGGCACAGCATGCTTTTAAAGCGCTTTCTCTTCAGCGCATGTGCAAAACATGTATCATGCGCGCATGGTTGCAGGTTTGGCCTCAGAAGGCCTGGCAGAGAGGACCTCGCCCGACCACGACGACCCAATGACCCCTCGAGAGTCGCGCAGGAGACGCTCGAGAGGCCAGCAGCACCAAACAGTAGCGAGACTGGCCGCGGCAGGCCGCTGGATGGAAGCTGCGGACCACGGCATCGTCTTCGGCAGCCGAGCCCCAGAAGCCCCACGTGGTGAACCCGTAGGGGAAGACCACCAGCACAAACAGGCAACCCTGGGCGAGGTAGAGCAGGAAGAGGCAGAAGTACCGGTAGTTGTGGGCGCCAACGCAGTTGTTCACCCAGGGGCAGTGGTGGTCCATCTTCAGCACGCAGCGGCCGCAGACCCTGCAGTGGTGGGCCCTCGCGGGCTTCGGCCCCTGGCGGGGAACCCAAGAGGTACGGATGCCGCTGCTCCACGGACCTTTCCAGAGGTGCGTTCTGACCAGGATTTCGAGGCGAGCCCGAGCCTCCCAGGAGGCCCCAAAAAGGGAAAAGCGAGGAAAGGGTAGAGACATGGGTACACGACGGTCAGAAGATGTATGTACAAAACATGAAGTAGGAAAGCGGACAAAGTAGATTGGGTTCAGACCCTTCTAGAGAATAACAAACACATAGCAAAAGCGCATCGATTCTTGAAGTAGGAAGGCGCTTGAAATAGACTGGGATCTGGGAGTCGATAAGTACCTACTTCCAGCGACCGGCGTATACCCTTTCCTCTTCTGACCTGGCATGCCCAGCACCATCGCGGCAGACTCCTCTCGGGCACACGCAAGAGTGACCCCTGGCACGAGCGACCTTCAGTGCGCGGAGCAAGGGGGCGCAAGGTGGCCAGATCCAAGCACGCAGGCGGCCTCTGTCGCATCGCGGTCAGCCATCTGGGGGGGGGGCCCGGTGATCCCGCACCAAAGGTCACTCCGGCGAAAGGTCACTCCTGCGTGTACGGCAAGTTCGTGTCGTGCCGACTTGGGGGTTGGTTTCTGACACCGCGGGGATCTTTCAGCCTTGAACGAGCGGCCGTGAGCTGAACCGAAACGTCAGATCGTTCAACGTCGACCGATTCTGGGTCGTCGGCGGCGCTCAACGTTGAACGCGGGCGGCCGGGTCGCCGCCGGTAGAGACGACGCGAACGTATCGCCGTCTTAAGTCGGGCGTGTCCCCCTACAGGGGGATTCTGGGCGAAAGATAAAACATACTCAAAGAAATACCCCAAACAATGCTCCAGAATGGTCAAGAGATCGCCCCCAGACTAGATGTTTTGGCTGTTCTTGCAGATTACCACTGTAGAGGGACACGCCCGACCTCATCGTAGTCGAACTTGATGGGCCTGTATGTCCACCACCACCACCACCACAACCATGAGTTGGAGGGAAAAAGGAGGAGCTGGAGGGGGCAGGAGGAGCAGGAGGAGGAGGAGGAGGACCCCCCTCGGGGATGGACAGACCCCCCTTTAGTAAAACGTGGTTTAGTGAAAACGACCTGAGGCCCAAACCTGGCGGGCGCAAGCCTGGAAAATAACGGCCACGGCGCCCTCTCGAGAACCGAAAACGGACAATTACACTAATCGACGTGTCACTGTTGGGGGTTCTGTCCACCCCCGACCCCTCCCCCTCCAACCTGTAGTGGTGGTGGTGGAAATCAGGCCCATCCGAACTCCTCTCAGGCACCGCACCCGAGCCGCTAGCGCCGCCCGCGGCCCCCGCCGAGCCGCCCCGCCCGCCGAGGTCGGCCGCCTCCGCGCCGCCGCCGCCGCCGCCCCCGGCGGGGCCCGGCACGGCGGGCGCCACGAAGCCCGGGTCCGTGGCGACCGCCCCCGCGTAGCTGCAGGCCAGGCCGGCCCACAGGTAGGAGCCCAGGCACCCCAGGGCGAGGCACCTGCTGGAGGGGAGAGGAGACAGTCAGAGGCAGCAGCGTGGACTGGGGACTCCCCGCTGCAGTGTCCCGGCGGAAGACCGCGGGTCACGCCCGGAGGCCGCGAGGAGGACATCCACCTGCTGGAGGAGAGGAGACAAGAAAGCACGCCACGGGCAGAACAACTTTTGTGGCGCTCCGCGCGGGCTTCTCTTGGATCTGGCTTCTCTTGGATCTTCTCTTGTGGCGCTCCGCTCCCCGGCGCGCGGCGCGCGCCAGGGGCGGCGCCGGAGGCGCCGCCAGGGGGGTCCCAGCGCGGATCCAAGAAATCCGCGCGGAGCGCCAAAAGCTGATGCTTATTGCGCTTGTTTCTTCGCCGACCAGCGGTGCGAGAAGCCGCGGTGGGACAGGAGGGGCAGCACGCGCAGGAAGAAGGCCAGGCCCTCCGCCGCGATGAGGGCCGACAGCGCCGGCACCAGCACCCGGCCCGAGGCCCTTGCGCACCGGACCCCCACGGAGCCGTCGCTCCCCGGCCCGCCGCAGTGGCAGCAGACGCGGCCCAGGAAGACGGAGGCAGAACGCACGAGGAAAGCTCACGCTTTCAGAGGCCCGCGCGGCTCTCTCGGATCTTGGGCGCCCGAGTATCCAGGGTAACTCGGGTCCGGGGTCCTCCTCCTCCTCCTCCTCCTCCTCCTCCTCCTCCTCCTCCTCCTCCTCCTCCTCCTCCTCCTCCCCGAGTTACCCCTGATGATTCGGGGCTCCGAGGATCGGCGCCGGGCCCCCCTCCCTGGCGCGCGGGGGGCGCGCCAGAGGGCTGCGCCGGCGGCGCCGCCAGGAGCGCCCTATAGGCGCCGATCCGAGCACACCGCGCGGAGCTCCGAAAGTTTATGCCTGCCCCGCCCTTCTCCTTCGAGACGATCGGCGGCGAGCGAAGGGGGGGGAAGTGAGAAGGAGAAGGCCTCCTCAGAAGGTTTGGACGTCCCCCATCCCCCGACGACGCGAGCAAAGAAAGCTTCTCAGAAGGCGCGAGGGCTGCTGAGAAGTCCCGCCACCATCTGAGAAGGCCTCCTCCTTGTCGGACACCTCTACTGGTTTTGGGGTCATAACTCGGGTCTCCGGCGGCCGTTCGGGACGACCCAGGCACCCCCAGCACGCTCCCGGCGAGGCGCCGCTGCCGGCACAAGCACCCCGAGGCAGCCGGCGGAGAGCCGACGGAGAAACGCCCCAATAAGACTCGAACCTCGAGCCCGGAAAACTCCCCCGCTCGCCCCGGCCCGCCGCCTCCTGAGGAGGCCCTCTCCTTCGGTGGGAAAAAAACACACACTGTGGGAACAAAAACACACACTGTGGGAAAAACACACACACACAAACAGCCCACACACTGTAGGACAAAAAAACAAACTGCGGGGAAAAACAAACACTGTGGGAAAAACCAGAACACACAACAGTGTGTGTGTGTGTGTGTGTGGGTGTGTGTGTGTTTTCCCACAGTGTGTGTGTTGTGACTCCTCTCCCCCCGCGCTCGCCGCCAGGACGCGCGAGCCCCGCGCCCAGGCGCCGCGCGCCAGGCCAGCGGCGCGCGCCGCCGCCGCGCCGGCGCGGCCGCAGCAGGCGGCTCCGCGCGGGCCGCCCTCGGGCACGGGCGGGCCCGCGCCGCCCGAAGGAGCGGAGCCCCCCGCGGCGCGCGGGGCACGGAGGGCGCCGGCGCCCCAGCGGACGTCGAAGAGGAGAAGAGAAAACGCCACTGTGGGAAAAACACACACAAAACAAAAACACACAGACACAGACAGACAGACAGACAGACAGACAGACAGACAGACAGACAGACAGACAGACAGACAGACAGACAGACAGACAGACAGACAGACAGACAGACAGACAGACAGACAGACAGACAGACAGACAGACACACACACACACACACACACACGTCTGTGGGGAAAAAACAATGTGTGTGTTTGTGTTGGAAAAACACACGTGTGTGTTTTTCCTGCGTTGTTTTCCCACAGTGTGTGTTTTTTCCCACACACGAACTTGCGACGGTCCGAGTGGACTTCTCGGATCTGCGCTGGGCGTCCCTGGCGCGCTCCGGGCGCGCCAGGGAGGGGGGGGCCCGGCGCAGATCCAAGAGGTCCGCGCGGAGCGCGACAGTTCGTGCTTACCCATCGGTCTGGAGAACTAGGTAGATACATGAAATAGGAAGGCGTTGAAAGTAGTAGATCGGGTTCCATCCACCCCTTAAGGAGGACGGGTGCGGTGAAGCCGCTCTATCATTGAAGTAGGAAGGCGCTTGAAGTAAATCGAAACCTGGGAATCCAGAAACACCTATTTTCGACGACCGATGGGTATTGCGTTTTTTCTCGGCGGTGGACACACCTCCCTTTAGCAAACCACCCTTTAGTGAAAAAAAAGCGTAGGACAGCAAAAACGACGGCCGCGGCGCCCTCTCGCGACCCGAAGAAAGCCAATGGCCAATCGACATGTCAGGGTAGGAGGTCTGTCAACCTCCGGTTTTCCCTCTTCGGGGATGGTGAGGGGGCTCCACGGCGCGGCGGCAGCCCAGGGAGGAGGCCAGAAGCGCAGACAGCGGCGCGAGCATGCACTGTCGCAGGGGTCCGCGCCGCTCTCTCGGGCCCCCAGAGGGGCCCTGGGAGCTGGCACCAGCACCAGCACCGGGGGGGCCTGCCTCCACCGGGGGAGGAGGAGGAGGAGGAGGAGGAGGAGGAGGAGGAGGAGGAGGAGGAGGAGGAGGAGGAGGAGGAGGAGGAGGAGGAGGAGGAGGAGAGGGAGGAGCAGAGGAGGAGGAGCAGGAGGGGGAGGAGGAGAGGGAGCAGGAGGAGGAGGAGGAGGAGGAGGAGGAGGAGGGGGAGGAGGAGGAGGAGGAGGCCAGACGTCTGCGAAACTGCGCTCGGCGGTACCTTCTGGCCTGGATCGGGATTCCCAAGACTGCGACGGACAACCTCATCCTTACGGTGCTTCACAGGGCCCCCACGGCGAACCAGCACTTCGACATGCACCATCAAGATCGTTGCAACCCTTGCGA